AATAGGTTCTTCTCAGAATAGCTAGGCAGGGCAGGTATAACATTATATAGGTGTGATGCTGAGACAGGAGCAGTGTCCAAATGTCAAGGTATAAGTACTTTAATGAGGAGAAAATAACAGGTACTAAAGGGTTAATTTATCTGACACTTAATGGCTCTACAAGTACTAGTGGCTGGAAGCTGAAGCCTGACAAATTCAAAGTCAAATTAGAAATTGAGCACTTTTTTTACACAATGAAAGTGAGTAACAGTTTGAACATACTCCCAAGGGAAGTGGTGGATTCTCCATCTCTTGATATCTTCAAATCAAGACTATCTGCCTTAGTTGGACGCAAATTATCAGGCTCAATACAGGCAGTCCTGAGACTTACAACACAATTGGTTCCTGAAAACCACATCTTAAGTCTAAATGTTGTAACTCAGAACCGATTTTCCCATAGGACACAATGTTATAAATGGGGGACTGGTTCCTGAACCAAGGCCCGATACCCTATTTTAATCAAAAATAACCCAGAATTTTGTACTCAATCAATTATAGATGAGTAATATAGCTACATTAATATATTTATATTGTAAATAGCAATCATATTGATTTGGAAGGACTCCTTTGAGGTGACTTTGCTGGACTTGTTGAAGGGCTCTTGGTTGGACTTTTTGAAGGGTTCTTAGCTGGAGTCTTCTCAGGAGTCTTGGCTGCAGGTTTTTCTGGAGTCTTGTCTGCTTTCTTAAAGAAAGTGTCCAAGTAAGTTTGGACAGATGTTCTCCAGGGAGACAGGCGATGCAGTGAACTTGTTCACTGGCGTGGCATCATGTTGGATCAAGTGTTGTAAAGTCGAAACTGATGTCAGAAAGTTGAAACAGGTTGTCAGTTTAGAAACACTGTAAGTGTGAAATGTAACTTGAAATGTTGTAAGTCAAGTAAAATAGAAAAGAGCTGCAGTAAGTAGAATCCTGAAGCTCTTTTCTATTTTACTCTTTTTGTCTCCCTCTCCCCTCCAGTGTGACGTAGTCATTTAATAAAATACAAGCATGCTTGGTGATCTGTCCTACAGCTTCAGTTAGAGAGCTCTATCAGCACACCCTAAAGGTAGCTACGGTTTGTGTCAGTCACAATCAACACTGTCCAAGTCTCCCTTTTGAGCTGGGAGGATAGCAAAGCCCTCAGATTCTCAAAATCCTGTGTAGGACCTTCTTAGAAACAAGTACCAATGAAGAGCGATTCCAAGAGGCATCCTTTGCACATCATCAACTAATAGAAATGCTTTAAGAGTTGTCGATGTTCTGTGCCTAGTACTGCACGGCGTACTACTTAGTGCCATCCATTCATGCAGTTTCCATAGTGCTGCCCATCCATGGCTTTTCCCTACCACCACCGGTCCATCCAGCCATGCATTGTCAGCTGGCCCCTGCTGATTAAAGTCGTCTTTAGCATCACTGGGCCTTGTCACATTGAAATACTTACCAGAAGCCTCTGTGCCTTCTTGATATCCAAGCCTCCCCAAGACAGTGCTAGTCAGGATTTTATCACAGAATGAGGCATTCAGAGTCAGCAGAAATTTAAATCTTGGGCCAGTCTGTTATTGTCGTTCCCCCTTCCGCATAGGTTCAACATGCAGGGTTCCTTACTAGCAAGCCTGCACATGTCGGAAACTGCCCTGGGCAGCTTTACAGGCTAGCATGATGCTTCCTGCTCATACTCCAGTCTTCCATGGTTCTGGCTCCTGTTGACTGAAAGCTACTGAGCATTTCAGGATTTCCATTCCTTTTTACCATGGCTATGTCATGAAAAGGAGGAAACTTGCAAATGTTTGCTGTTCAGCAGGCTAATTCCATGTCATAGTCCCATAATCCAGCTCTGAACACAGGCACCAGTTCTAGATACAGGACCAGTTACTTTATCACCTACGCTATCACTCATCCCCAGAGTGGGATTTGACCATCGTCTTCTCCACAGTCTGCCAGGCATAGTAGTTGGGAGAAGGTTGCACATTGAGTCTGAAGGTTTTCAGTCAAGGTTCCCAGCCAAAGGTTTTGTGAGGAGGCCTGGAGTTTCTTGTACTGGCCTTGATTTTTGTGGTGCAGTCCTAGTACTGTATATTTAGCATTAGGACGTAACTTGGAAAAAAAACGTCTGTGGACATTTCAAGGTAGAAATGCTACTAACATTAAAAGAAGCCACTCATGGGAAGCTTGCTGAGGCACTGAGAGAGTACGTTCCTGGAGGTGTAGTCATTTGCTATAAATGGAGAGCCATGCCCTGCAACAGCTAATTTTGGAGGTTTGGCATAGGCAGAAGGATGAGCAAGGGTCCAGACCTGTGTAGGATGCAGCAAGGTCTCTCCCAGTCTCAATGTTTAAATCTCTTTCTTTTTTACAGAAACCGCAAGTCCCCTGATTTCAAATCCTTTCCCGCTTTTACAAAGTAAGTGCCATGGATGTCTTGTGGTGCACCTTGGTGGGTGTTTCCACCTAGCCACCTTGGTTGTCCTGCCCTGTTAGTATTTTTTTCATGAATAAATGTTTTTATTACTGGGCCAGTAATAATTAAAAAAATGAAATGCCTCACTTCTGTGGCTATTGTTTAGGGTTTAAATGAGATAGATGAATGCAGGGTTCTTAGTCGAGTTGTGGTGTTGTGCATGGCTGCTGTGTCTTTCTGGATCAGTTTCAACCTTTGAGGCAGATGTCAAATTTATGGAGAACACTTGTTTTAATACACCTGTGCTTGAAGACTAAAAGTGAACCCAGTTTTGAGTTTCACACTTTCACGAGGAAGCATGTTGTAATGGCTTGACTCATTATAATCACTTTCCAGAAACAGCTGAGACCCCCCTTCCTCCCCCTGCACGAGAAGGTGGATAGAAAGATAATAAGAGATTGAAAATGATGGAGTGGGGAGTGGATTGTTCCAGGTAGACTTTGAGGTTTGACTGCTGTCACTCATTCTTCAAGAGAAGGGAAAGCTAACGAGCATCCCACACTTTTAATAGGCAGGGTAACTGTGTTGTGTTATCCTATAATTTTTATCCTTGTTGTTGTTGTTGCTTGGTTTATTGCTTCATCCGATAATGTATCACCCCAGCAGGATTCTCAGCCTGGGGTCTTAGTCCTTAACCATAAGATGCCCCAAGAGTCCTGCTTGTTGATTTTATTTTTATCCTTGAGGGATGGCAGTGGTGAAAGAGAATCTTTCATGTGCTCTTTCTCCCTCTCTTCCTATTTTTCTTTCTCTCCTTTAAGGATTTCAAAAACAAGTGGGATTTCTCTATTGCTAATTGTAGTGATATTGGAAAAACCCAATTGGTTACCAAGCAGATTAGCTCTAATGCACTCTGCCCTGCATCCTAAAATCATTTAGAAACTTAAGTGGGCGCAAAATCCACTGCCTGAAAACGAGACCTTTCAGTATGTGAGAGCACATTATACTGGAGCTTCAAGGTCTGCCACTTTGTTTCTGACTAGTTGCTGGCTGGATTTTAAGCTGTCCATTTTATCCTACAAAGGCCTTGGCAACCCTTGAGAGCATGTTGCCTAGCCTGCCATTTGGCCCAGGTTTTCAAAGGGTAGGGGCCAGCAGGAGCTACTGTTTCAGGAGGTACAGTTCATGAGAAATGCCAAGTGTTGGTTAGGCATCCTATCATCTTGCTCTGCTGTGGGTGACATTTGTCAAGGTGATTTGCTTCTGGTTGGACTTGCAGAAGGATAGACGGGGAGCCCTTATAAATCAGTAAGTACATTGTTTAGGGCTAGAGCTAGTAGAGGATTTGGAAAATAACTTAAGATAAAAACTTTCTGGGAATTTTCTAGCATTATTTTTCATCAGAATTTTGACCAACAGGATTAAATTTGTATCCTTTCCATTAAGGAACTGGGAGGATGAAGGAGCCACCTCTTTCCCATATGATGCCACCACCATCACAAGCAATGGGCATGGTTGAGCGTGGGGTTCAAAATGGAGGAGACTGGCATTTTCTATTAAATGCCTTCCATGAGCTTCACCAACCCCAAACTAAGCTCAGCTGTTTTCTCCAACTTAGTCATGGAGGGCAGGTGCTTGGCATAGGAATGTTATTGGTTTAATTGACCTCAGTGCAAATGCTGTTATTGCCAGAGCTGCCTTCTGTGGTCAATTTGTTTCCTGGTTTTAGATTTATAATTCTTGGTCTTGTATAATATTGGTAAAAGTGCATAGAGCTATTGGGGAAAGGCACGTTAAATAAATGCATATAAACTAGGCTTGCATATTATGTTAGAGCTATTAGCAAGATGCAGAAGGCTTTGCTGCTAGTGGTTCCTATGGAGGTTTCACTTTTACATTTAAAAGAGAACATGGCCATCTAGTCAAGGTTACCCAGGCCTGCTGGGCTTATAGAAAGGAAAGAGAGCTGGATCATAAAGGGAGATAGGAATGGGAGTATAACCGAGTAAGAAACACTTCCAGGGAGAGTCAAGGAGAAGAATTCATGTTGTGCTGGGCAGCCAGAGCCTTTGATGCTACCAAAGGTTCAGGATGGGTCTATTATTTTCATAAGCAGGGGAGACTACAGTGCTGGGAGAGAAGAGGTTCCACAGGGTTGGTGCAGCATTTGGTTGAATTTGAGGGAACTTTTTAAAAATTGCCCCAGACAGATGATTTCTATGTTGCTTGTCTATGCTGTCCTGTCATTACCTCCTTATGTCCACATGAGTTCAAAAAGGAAATTGCATATTTCCAGGATAGACCCTTTAGTTTTCATGTCCCAGTGTGCCTGAACCGATAAGGGCCTCAGAGCTCTTAGCCCTGTTGGAAGATGGGAAATGATCTGTCAGTAGTTTTCCAGACTTTCAGTAGTTTAGAATATTTTGCCACAAGACAAGTGAAATCTCCTGGGCGTGGGAAAGCAGTCAGACTGGCATGCGTGGATTAAGTCTTCCTGCTGCTACATGGAGAGTAACTCTGCGCAGTACTTGCTTTTCCAGACTCAGTGGACTAGGAGCTGTTGGCTGGCACCCCAGCTGCTCAAAGGTTCCTGGCCATCCTCAGATGGGGAGGAGGCTGGAGAATTTTGGAGATTTCCAGTAGTGTGAAACTTTGTTCTAAAATGTCGCCTCTTTTGTGTGCTGTCCATATCCTTCGCTGTCTTTGCTAAGCCATACTCCATACTCTTGCCAGACATACCCAGCCTTTAAGTCCTAATTTCCTTTTCCCCAGAATCCAAGGAGACCCCTCTGGTTTTGTGCCAGAGTTGATTGCTTTCAGAGCTTACCACTCGTTACGGGGCAGCTAAGGTGACAGGGGATCCCTGCTTTCCTTGCCAGCACACCAGTCCAGAACTCTCTGCTGTCAGCTTCTCTTTCATTTAAGGGGTAGAGAAACTGGAGAGGCCCTGAAAAGAACAAGTGAGCAGTTGTCAGGGAAAGGAAGGAGTAGCGTTGTAACAGCTGCTCCTCAAGAAAGGAGTGTAAATGTTTGAGGTGAAGGGAATAATTGATGGAGTCAAAAGGAGTTGATGAGAGATGCTAGAACTGGTGGGTGAGAGGGAGTGGCCGATAGGTATAGGGGAAGGGTTGTGTTGTGTCATACAGTCCAGATATGGAATGATATGCAGGTATAACATATATTCTTCTGGACTTTTGTCCTATGCTATGTAGGTGGGTCTGGCCCATATGCCATTTTTGTTTAGGCATCAGGCATGCTTTCTTGAAGAAGATGTATGAAATCTATAGCACCAAGTAAAGTTGTTGGTAGCAATGGTGTTAGCGTTAAAGCCAAGCCCAGTCTGTCCGTCCAGTTTGCTTTCTGCTCAGTAAGTCAGGGCCCATCTCCACTTCTGCAGTTGCACAAGCTCCTGAGCAAGGCTCAGTTACACAGAGACAGGGGCATGATTTAGGAGTGAGACACATGGGGCTGAGCATATCACCCTTCCCTACAGCACTATATGATAAGGGAAGGTTGAGTCAGGCAGAGCTACAAATCTGCTGGTGCACAGCATCTCTGGCCCTCCTTTTCCATTGCTGTCAGGAATGTAGTGGTATGCTACCTCAGCCACTGAGTTGAATTGGTTGCAAGGGGCTGGGTCCATAGTCTTGCAGAGAATATTCTTTCACACACCCCTATACATCTAATCAGTCTCTTGTCTAGCCGTGCAGATTTATCCCTTACAGGGTTTTTTTTGCATACAAGGTTTACTTTACAAAGATGAGTGAGTAATACCTGCCCACAGTTATAGTATTTAAAGTCAGTGGTGTTGGGTGAGAATGAGATTACACAATTGCTTAACACTTTGGTAATGGGAGCAGTATTTAATATGGGTGGTTTGATTTTATTTTTTTTAACCTTAAGAGCTTGCAGAATTCAACATTTTTTTAGGAGTACTGAGGTCATAAAGAGAAAGGTAGATAGTAGTATTTTATCCACAGTTGCATTTAAGGTATGTTCAGTAAGGGCACATCCCGACTCCACTCCAGTCCATCCACTGGATTTCATTGTTTCCCAGTCCTCCGCGCATGTTAGAGTGTCAAGGAGTGGGTTGAAAAGAAGGGTCGGCCTCCCCTGGCGCTCTGCACGTTTGGAACGTTCTGGTTCTGCGGTGGGTAAGTAAAAAGAGAGATCTGGTACATGGCCAGGATCTAAACCTACAGTCCTTCCAACCCAAATGACCTCATTTTATCAAATGGGTCTTTGCGTTTGTCCTGGTCTCTGCCAGGAGAGGAAGAACTAAAGAGAAGATAGACTTGACTAGACAGAACACTGACAAAGAAGTAAATGTCATCTATCGGTGACCATTGAGAATCCCCATGTGTTGGGACTTATCTGGTGAACAGTTGAGACTTCCAGTTTCATAGTGAACAGATCTGCCAGTGTTGAGCTGAATGAGTCTCTGGATTCTGCAAAGTCTCTCCCATTTTGGGGAGCCCATAGTAAGGGTGTGCAAAACGGGCCGTATTCAATTCGGATTTGGATTTGGCCCAAGTCAGGGACAGTGATTCGATTAATTGATTCAGATCACTGTCCTGATTTGATTTGGCTAAATCCGAATTTGAAGATTCGATGCTGATTTGGAGAATCAGCGATTCAGCCATAGACACAGCTTTAAATGTTTTTTCTACATACCTCAAGGTACCAGGCACAGCTTGTAAACACTGCGATGCTGGCGCAGATGGAGCATCCCAGGGGACCACGGGGGAGCACCTTGCTTCTGGTCCACTTCTGGGTCTGTTGCTGAGTATTCTGGGGAGCTCCCTGCGTTCCTGTGGGACACTCCATCTGTCCCAGCATTTCAGCATTCGCAAGCCACCTGGTACCACGAGGTATGTAGAAAAAACATTTAAAACTGTGTCTATGGCCGAATTGTTGAACCTTTCTGAATCGATTCAGAGGGTTACGATTCGATTCGGAGAGATTTAAAGGGTCTCCTCATCCAATTTGGATTCGGAGATTCA